TGTGTTTTACAGCTAAGTATGTCAGTTACCAGCAAGATACATCGATTAGTTTGATGAATTCACTTGATACTTTTGGCCGGCGCCTTGGGACTCTTGCAGAATTTAGAACAAGGGGGACAGGTAGAAGAACAGCGCGAGGTTGATCAGGTCTGTCTTTTATAGCTAAGTACGTCGATTTGTGTTAAGTACTCACTTGATATTCTTGGCCAGCGCCTTGGGGCACTGGCTGAGCTTGGCCAGCGTACACAGGACGCGGTGGAAATTGGACAGGTCGAAGAGCATCGACGGGTCGAACAGGTCTGTTTCTCGAAGCTCGAATACTTCATGGCATGTGCGCAGGAACACTTTGATGTTGCGCATGCACAGAAACTGTGGACAAACCATTTTTGTGTTAGTCTTATTGCTTTTATTAATTCTTTTACCGAGCGGCTGTTATAGATGTATTGAGTACCTAGTATTAAGTTCTTGATTAACTGCAATTTAGAATTTAGAACGCGTCTTCCTATGTTCTTAGTGTTATTATACATATATTAACTAATATTTTATTTTTAGGATGTTATAATTAAGTGGCAACATGAACAATAAAATAGTAAAATGCGTGTATCATATTGTTGGTGGTATATTACTATGAGTAAATTAGTAATAAGTTTGTACTGCTGTTTATTTGTCCTTAATGAAATAAATAAATATTCACGTATTAACGCATGTATAAACACATTTGTGGCTATTAAGTCGCGAATCTACAAGTACGTCTAAAATAACGTTTTACAAGCAAAAAGGTATTGAAAGTGAAACAACTTAAATTATAGTCGATTAGCTTTAGTACAATCGTTGCTTGGTGCGTTAGATCTTACTGATATAAGTCAGCATATTATAAGGTCAAAAGCGACCTTGGTGTTCCAACAGTTAGCACACTACGGGCGCTGGATTAGGAGGTCCTGTATTCGATTTCCGGTAGGACCAATTTGGGAAATCAAAAACCTTAGCCTAAAATTCTCAACTACCTACATCTGTCACAACTAGAATCTAAATTGCGTATATTTGTTTTTTTTTTTTCCAACGAATCAACGTTGTGTGTTCATTCCTATGTTCACGGTAGCCTGCTCAGAACCAAATAATTATTAATTTCCGCTTTTTTATTCTATATTTATTTATTAAATTCGTTCTCTTTTTCTAATAACGCTTTTAAATAAAAAAAAGCTAATTTATTCGTTTTCCTGTTGTTAATATTTTTTTATGTTAATATTTATATTACTAATTCTATTATCTTTTTTTTCGGCAACGCTTTATTCTATTCTCGCTTTTGTGAGTAGATAATAAAGCCGATGTAGATCCCACTAAGTTTCCCGATTGTCAACTGTTGTCTGGACCTCATTGTATGACCCGTTTGCATATAGTTTCCCAAAGTGGTCCCTATCGCCCCCCAGTAGGTGCTGAAGAGTCCTTGGGGGTAGGGCATTTGAAAAAAAAAACCTGAATTATCTACATAAACTACAGTACAAATATGTAATTTTTTTTGCGGTTTTACGCGTTAAACTAATATAAAAAAATACGAGCTTTCAATAATTTCTTGTGGTGGTGAGCGTTGAAATTTCTTTATCTTGCCTAAGTGGGCGGTGACTCAAAAAGTTCGGAAAACTATGCTTTAGTTTAACATTAATTTGGCATGTGCAATTAAACCTCACTCCATTAATATACCCTTATCCTTTTATTATGTTTTTAATAAAAAGATGGCCCAATCTGAACTGCTGCGATCGATTAACACTTGACCGCGTTACCCGACACAGCTCAAATTTCACGTGTTTGTTTGGATAACAATACAAATACAGTACCTTTCCACACATCGGCGGATAATTCTGTAAATTTTATTTAGTACTCGTAACGACTTTCAAAGGGATAATAACTACCACATTATCATTACATATAATTTCTTATTAAGACAATTATGAAAGGAAAAGGTTAGTTTAGCTTAAATATTGTATGTAAACAAATTCAAATTCAAATTCATTTATTCAGATAACTAGGATCCATAAGTGTTAGCAACAATGAAACTTATAATTAGGTTAGTACTTAAATTCTAGAACAGATTTTGTATTATTAATGAAATGCCGCATTGTGGGACACTCACACCTAACCGCAATTGTCTTCAGGAGGCTGTTACCGCTGCCACGTATTCTGTTCAACAGAGATGCTGATCTTTTGCGCAAGACTGCCATGAAGCTATCCACACGGGCTTCAGCAAACATGGCAGACGCACTGCAAAACCGCGGCAGCCGCATCAGCGTCCTGAAGGCGTTGTTGTATTGCGTGCGCATGGCCCTGAGCGAGACTTGGGTATAGCTAGCAAACACTTTGTAGTACGGTCAAAAGCATAGCTTGAAATGTTGGTTCGTTCACACACAATCATATTTTAATAAAGAGGTCGGCCGTGGTGGCACAATCTCTGGTCTTCCAAGATCGTTGGATCTAAACCCGACTTTTTGTCATCAAGAGGTACTTTAATGGTATATTTTAAGCTCAGTACGTTGGAACAAGAGCTACGCCAATAAAACCAATTGCCTATAATAAAAAATAGAGAGAATCGAGTCTTTTCGCAGGCTTTCAAAAAAATATTTTAAATGTCGTTGGTGTATTGCAAACTGAGGCATACACTTCGAGAATTTGTTATGAAATTTGTGCATTTTTAAAAAATAATTATTTACAATTAATTTTTGCTGCTTGATTTTGTTTCCCCAGTCTCAACCCTTACACATACACAAAACTGTTTTTTTTATGTATTATTTGATAATAATAACTCAGTATATTTAGTTAAATTTGATAAAAAACGATTATGCTAGAAATTGTCCATTTTGGTTTTTAGTGACTTCACAACACGATGTTAAGTTGTAAAGAGGTTGCAATAATTAGACAACTACAATTTTAGTTGCAGGCCGTCACTATATTTTATGGTAGTTTTTAAGGTTATCAGCGTAATTTGCTTTGCGTCGGGCATTTTTTAAAAAATTGAACATTTTATTTGTGAACAAATTAAAAAATCACCAAAAAGTGTAAAGGTCTACCGGTGTTATCTAAGAAGTTAATTGCATGTTGTCGAAATGGCCACGTAAGTTTCCTACCGGATTTCAATTGATTTAGTGGAATAGTTATAAAACTAGAGTGGTTTTGATGACTATTGTAGTTTTTTAATTTTTTTTTATACGAGAAAAATCATAACTTCTGAACTATTGATTTTTGCGAAACTAATGTTTAATGGGTGATTAGGATTTAATGTACCAAAAAAAATGTACTACTATAAATGGACCAGCCTGTATAAATTTCAAAGTATACAAAGGCGAAGATTTCTTCCAGCTAATCTAATCTGTTACTTAATAAAAAACGATATTTGAAAACTATAAAAAAAGATAATCCAATCTGATTCATGATATCAAAAGTAGCAACATCGATGACACACTATGCGGACAGTACGTTACATCGAAAGTACGCTGTATGGATATTGCACTATATATCAGTAGCGAGTCGTGAAAATTGTCGTTAGTAAATCCGGAGCAAAAACAAAAAACACCTAACTTAAGAAAAAGTGGTGCCTTGGCGACATTTAAACACGACCTATTAGCACACAAGGTACAAGGTTAATAGCACGTCAAGCTTGACACTTAAGATTTAAATACAACTCTGCGCCGCTTACGATAAGAACGGTCCAAAGTACAAAGTGTCAATCTTGACGTGCTCTTGACTGTACTAGTATACTTAATTTCACTGGTTAACTTATTGTACACATGAAATTTAGCGCAATATGTAGTATTTGATAATACATTGAAAATTTTAAGCAAGTCGGTGAAAATCGAGTTAGACGCCTCGCCTCTGCTATACACAGTGCATCACTTACATTTTTTTTATAATATCAAGTGACGGATGAACAAGTTGTGCGCCTGGTGGTAAGAAACACGCCTATCCATAACAGTTGCAGTGCCACTCAGAGCTTTAAATCACAAAGATCTTAAGGGCACTGCGTCCGTTACCCTGAGACATAAGTTGACAAGTTCCATGACCCCGTAATTTCCCCAGCACCCTTACTCTTTCAAACCGAAACACAGTAATGCTTATATTACTGCTTGGAGCAGAAATAGGTAAGATGTCAGTACTTCCCTGGACGAACTCTTTCACTAGAGCTCGTTAGCTCTACTGCTACTATAAATATACATACATAATAAGAAACATTCCAATACGATAATGTATCGATAAAAGAAATAAAAAATTATCGGTTTGTTTTCTTAAAAGGCGCGATTACTTTTTATTACCTTTTTACAATCGCAATCATATTAATCTGTGAACGGTTTGTAATGTTTTTACGTGATCTCCATCTTACCTTAAGAGGGAGCAGAGGAAAAATTCCTAATCTTCGATTTGATTTTAGAGGGGTATATCCACATTAAAGTTAAAAATAAAATATTGTATGAGTAACTACATGATATATTCAAGCATAGACACTAATCAGAAACATAAAACAATAAAGTTTCCTCGATAGATAAAAATCACGAAATGACCTCTAATTTTCACATTTTTTCGATTCATCCTCGAAATGCTACAGGTTATTAGGACAAAAATTAGATAATTAATTATATTTATGCATGATCGATAACTGTCACTACGGATTTTTTTTAATCCCTTTAGTTTTAGAGTTATTCCGCTAAAACGAATTTGGTACTTTTATTGCGCAAAATTCAACATCTCCTGTCGCATGTCACGCGAACTTCAGGCATATATTTGTTTCACAAATTTGGGCGGAGCCAACGTCAAAACTTTTTTGTCATGCTCCCTCTTAATAAAAGCGATAAAGTCGACGATGGAGCATGAACACCTAAATAATGCCTATTCACTCTCGCTACGAAAAGGATCAAGTTTTTCAAGTTAAAGTAGTTCTAATTGCGTATACCGAATGGACAAAGAAATGGCGCGCCTGATGGTAACGACACGCCTGTCCCCAAGTTTTTTTTATAGTATCAAGTGACGGGACAAACAGGGTCGTGCGTCTGATGGTAAGCTACACGCCTGTCCATAACAGTTGTAGTGCCACTCAGAGTTTTAAATCATCAAAGATCTGAGGGGCACTGCCACTGCGCCCTTTTTTTTTGGTGCCCTGAAACATAAGTTGACAAATCCTGAGACTGGTTTGAATTTGGTCTACGCGGCGGCTGCGCGGTTGTATTATTCAGAGGAATTTAAATGTTGTCGCCTTATAAATAGAATTCAAATTCGCCATTAAAGTTCATGAAGGCGGGGTAACTGGGCGGTCGCCGCGCGAAATCTTTCGCTTCGTGTAACTAGACCCTTACCCTTCAAAACCGGAACACAGCAATGCTGACATTACT